CAGCAAGCACTCAGACAGGCATGCAACCAGCAGGCACGCACACACACAGACTTGGAACCACAGCAGAATGTGGGAATCACAACAAGGCATCCATTGTAGTGACAAATCCCAAAAATCGGCAGTGTTCTCAGTCTGTGTTTCTGGCGGGTCATTACACCATGTTGGTCGGGGCTCCTCGTATAAGCCGTGTTGTTTTCAATCGCCACTGGTAGTGGCGCTGTGAGTTGTCGTGCCTGCGTCTAGCTTCTCGATGTACCAGGTCCCCTTCTAGGGTGGATTCATTCTCATTTTGCACATTTGGTGACTAGAGAAGTGCTGCCCGTGGTTGTGGTTGTCATCGGGGCGATCACACTGCTGTTCCATCTCAGAGGAAGTTGGCGCAACTCGTCGTTGTGATCACACTCTCCCCTGCGCACGAGAGATTACGTAGTAGATTGCAGCTGGGAAGCGAAGTAACCTGGCCAAGGCCGGGGCCAGGTGCATCCAAGATTATATGAGGAAATAGGGCAGTGGGCATGGCGAAAAAGAGTAGAACTTACCTGCTCCATCTGGTGATCGCATGCCTAGCGTATTCGTCAGTAGAGTGCCATCGGGGACTGTCGTGCTCATCGTTGAGTTCCTGTTGGTATTAGCTTAGCTCATTGTCGAGATCCTGCAGGTGGTGATTGAGCTGATCGTGATCGTGTAGCTTTTCATGCTCGTCGTTAGACTCATGATCTTGGTCATGGTGGTTCTCGTCAAGGGCTCACACAGCTCCCGGTGTCCGTCATCTTGACTGTAAGCAACCGGCCCTTATCGAAATCGTGCTGCTTGGCGCCCTGCTGTCGTTGGTATTCTTTCTTGAGATGTTCGTTTCGCTGAGGTAATGTCCCTGGTCACCTTTACAGTCGAAGTTGTGGCCTTTGCTTTGCTGTGATTTCCCTCACCATTGTCGTACGTGTGAACGAGCGAGCTCAAGAGAGGGAGAAGAGAAGGGGAGGGGGTGGACGAGATTGAGGTGTATAGACATTCCTGGTTGGTGGAGTGATTTGTCTGATGCCATTAACAGGCATAGCAAGGATTGACTAGTAGGAAATTCTCGTTGATTTTATGGGAGGTCGTGCATGGCCGATCAAAAAAGCTTCGCTGATCGCCGCTTTCTTTGGCCAGGACTGCTGCCCTCAGCCCAGGCAGGGTGCTGCTGCTGAGTATTCGGACGTTGCTGATGCATATTCCGGCACCGCTGCTGTGTATTCGAAGGTTGTTGTTGTGCTATCGGCGGCCGCTGAATTGCAAACTGCTGGTGCCTCCAGCTATTGCCATCGGTAGGCTGCTGCCATTTTGGCACCACCGATGCAGCCAGTATTAGTGCGCATGTTGTGCATCTAAAGTGGTGCTGTTGCTGTTGCTGTTCTCGGCAGCGACAGACTGCTGATGCTGCTATTGTTTTCAACAAACCGCAGTTGTTACTTGCTGGGAACTGAGCTGCTGCTAGCAGTTACTACACTGCCTTTTTTCCGAGCAATGCAGCAGAGCAGCAGGTCTTCTTCTGTCATCGAACTGCTGCGGTGACTCTGATTATTGCTGTTGGTTGAGTTCCTGACTACTGCTGCTACTGAAATTTCTGCTGAGCGGCATCAAACTTGGCCTTAAGACAGAAGGTCTACGAGCGATTGGCTGCCATTGCGGGGCCCTCAGGATCTGAGGGTAACAAGGCCTTCTCCACGCGAGTCTGAGTGGACCCCTTTCTAAACCTTGAGAGTCTGAAGTTCCTTTTTTCTATCCTCCTTATTTTTTCTATCCTTCTTACTCTCAGTCTAGTCTGACATTCGTGAGAGGAAGGCGGCGGGTGAGATTGCAACCCACAAGACCACAGCAAGGCCCTGGCGGGGTTCTGGAGGCTGGGAACACTCAGGTATAACTACATTTTACACGTGTGATCCCGTATTCCCCTAGCTATAGTACCTTCTATTCTGCATGAAGCATGACTGAGCCATTATTACTATTATTATTTGAGTTTGTTTTCAGGATTTAATATGAAGTTAAATACAGCATGACTTCAGATGCCTGTCTGAATGCAGAGAGAATAAACAGGGAAGGGTGGTAAAAAGGGAAAAAGGGATGATTTTGCTTGCGTCTGACCGGGTCGATCAAAGGCTGGACATATCTCTACATTGAGAGGTCCAGTGCTATGTTTTTTTTTTTTTGTTGCTGGGCTGTTTGCTTGATTTTCAGAGCTTGGGCCTATCCTAGCTTGGACGGTCCAGTCACATGTTTCTTATTTGGGTTTCTGAACGGGCCTGGCCCTAGGTTGGGTGGTCCAGAATCTCTGCTTTCCTAGTTGACTGAAAACAATTGGGTCCACTCTAGGTTGCTTGGCTCCGATTCTTTGCGTTATTTCTAAGGGAGAAAAGGGCAGAGGCTAAGCGTACCCCTAAGATGGGGCGGCCTAGTCATGAGTCATGA